TCAGGTGTCTGGAGTGGTCAGTAAAAGGCATCAGGGAGTGGCCAGTATAGCATTAGGGAGTGGTCTGTAAGGATTTGGAGAGTGGTCATCCAGGCATCAGAGAGTGGTTGGTCAGGTGTCTGGAGTGGTCAGTAAGGCATCAGGGAGTGGCCAGTATAGCATTAGGGAGTGGTTTGTAAGGCATTGGAGAGTGGTCGGCCAGGCATCGGGGAGTGGGTGGTCAGGTGTCCGGAATGGTCTGTAAGGCATTGGGGAGTGGCCAGTATAGCATTAGGGAGTGGTCAGGAAGATGGCAGGCRTCAGGAAGACAGTGAAGTGGTGGGTCAGGCATTGGCAAGTGTTTAGTCAGGGAGTCAGTCAGGCATCAATGTCAGTAAACTTTCTTTTTCATATCATTCCTGTAAATAGTCCATTACCTCTAGGCTTTATCTTGTAGGGCAGTTAACAAGCTTCAAGGAACTGAATCAAAACCTCTAATATTCCCAGCATACATTGCATCACTTGCTATGCACGACTCAGAAAAAACTGCCATATTTGGTTAGTAAATTCTACTATAAATTAATTAAATCCTATATTTGGTTTTGCATAGAACACCAAATCTGCTATTTCAGTTTACTAAAGACTTTAATTATCTACTCTTAGCGTTGCAAAATTCAAGTGAAGGTGACAGAGCTGGTGAAGAAAACAATGCAGTCACAAAAACCAAACGATATATTTTTCACCTCACTGACTCCTGGTAAGCTGTGGCTTTATGTAATTTTACGGGTTGAAATAATGAATTAGTTTTAAATAATTAATATATTTTTTGTCATTCTTTTTTCCAGTTACACCATCTTGGGGTTGCTAGGTGACATGATGGGAGCAGAGCTGTACAARCAGCCAGGACTTGCACAGTTTCTCAATGAACACATTATTAATTCTCTACATCATTTGCCAAACTACAGAATGAGAGTCGTAATTCATATCCTTGTAGTTGCTTACCTTTACATATCATTTCCTCAGCATTATCATCACACTGCCATTGTATTATCATGTATCATCTTTAACCATTCACAAGGCATTTTATCAAGGTATTCATCACTTGCTGTCCTGATCAGTATTATAAAGACACCCTAGTTCCAGTTCTGTCAAACTTCTTTAACTTCATGTTACAGGTATTTTATACAAATAATATTAATGTGTAGTTCCAGAAATTATCAATACCCCTCCCCWCCCCAGAGGATTTTTTGAAGACCCCCTACTTCCAGAAATGTCAATTTTCTTCCATACAAACTCTGTAATCTTGTCATTTCTCTGATCCCTCCCACCCCTTGGAAATTCTAAATTTTTCCATGGGGGGGGGGGGAGGAGGAGGGATATGGATAGTTTCTGGAACAACACAATATCTGATTATGCAATATTGTAATATGGAATCGTAATCGTCTTAAATCCTATAGTTTTCTTCCAGTAATTTTGTTTGTTGTTTGTTAAAGCATCTAGAAAATGAATGGCAAAAAGTCAGGTCAAGAAAAATTGAAAGGTAAATTTCAATTCAAAGAATATCTTACCCCGAGTAGTTAATTAACACAAGTTATGACTTATCGGTTTTCTTTGCTCCTAGTGCTTCAGATGTTGAGGAAGAAAAGGATGTCTTTTCCCAAGAAGTAATTCAAGATCAACTAGTATACCTTATCACAAAARATTATATGGATGTGTTCTGTGAGTGGTTGTTAATGAAATATTAAAGAAGTCACTGCTCTACTAAATAAATGCAGTAACCAGGGAGCTATTCTTGGACTCTGTTGCTTATTGGTTCTCTCCTGTGCTTCGAGGGTTTTTCTCTGGGTTCTCCGGTTTTTCTCCCTCCACAAAAATAACTTCTAATAACAATTCAATATGGCATTGTAAAGCTTAAATATGAGGCTCTGGCTCAGGACTGAGTTAATATCACTCTCTGCATGTTCCATGGAAAAGAAATCATGCTTACATTTTACATTTCAACAACATGACAAATTTAGTTTGGGTGCAATGTGTTTCCATTTCAGACCATGTCATTCCCTTGAGTATTACATCTCACACTACCATCACAATCATAAGACATAGTCGTCATGAAAAACACTACCTCATCTCACACTAACATCACGATCATAAGACAGTGTCATCATGA